CCTCACCCCAAACATAATAGTTAATCCTTTAAGAAAAAGTGCAGAAGCCTTGCAGTGTCAATATCATAACTCTTTATATATTTCAGAAAATCAAAGTAATAGCATTGCATTATGTGTCTTCAACTGGGATTTAGCTTCCATTGTTGCCCTGTGCTTTCTGTCACTGAAGTGTCAGTTGTCTGGTTAGCAAAGGAAGTGTTCCACTTTAGCAGTTTAAACTTGAAAGGGCTGTTTTATAATTTTTCTGATACATTTATACTATTAAAATGAGTTGAGCTTTCTCACATATCAGCCTCTGAAGCTTGAGTATTTTAAACTAATTGTGATCTTATATCTTGCTGAGCTCCAAGATAGCTTTTACAATTAGAGGGGCAGAACCTACCAGGATTTAAGAAAAACATGATGTATATGAATACAATGCCTGCATAATTCTGCTGTGCTTAGTACATATTTATATACAATCTGAAGTTTGGAGAATGAAACAAGCAAAACACTGCTTGAAGAAATTAAAGCTAAAGCCCATTATTGCAACATTCTGTTTGCCACATTGATCAGGTAAATGCTTTTAGAAGGACGACTCACAAAGCAAAATAAGACAGCAACTTCTCTTTATTTCCTTTTCACTATCTGTTGCCTAAAATACGTTCTCTGTTAAGATAGAAGTTGCATCTTAGTCAGTAGTTTTATTTACAGAGCTACCTTTCACCAATCCATCTGTCCCATTTGAAAACTCTTCAAACTATTAACTTGGCACTCCACTTTACAAGTAATTCAGGATAGGTGAGAACTTGAAAAGTAGGAAAATAGACACAGCAATACACAATACACAGGATAATTGACCACTTCTACACATCTGTAATATTTATATTTCTATACATCTGCGATATTTATAGAGTAAACACTCAGCAGCAATATTCCTTTGGAAGGACTGTTAGCCTATTTTTTCAGGCATTATGTTCTTAAGACACTAACAGGCATTGCTAGGCCATGCTACCCAGAAGATACTCCACGTGGAAAGCAAAATCAGGTTGGTTTGGACATAATTCTGCGAAGTACTACATAGATCTGCATTTTAGTCTTGAGTGTATCATTGAACTTAGCATGGCTAACAGGCACAAAGTGAGAGACTGATAGGTGATGATCTGCAAAGTTAGGATTTAGAGGCACTTTGAAACAGTGAAATATTCTCATTCTTTGTGAATATCTCTCAGAGCCCATCAGAGCTATAGGCACAAGTCCTGGTCTTTTCCTGTGATCTAAGAAATAGGCAAATTGACACAGCTGCATGTTTTGCTAGCTACCAAGATCAGGTATAATTTATTGATCCTTTAGATATATATATCACAAGAGGAAAAAGAAAAAAAGCAGTCAGAAATAATGGGCCAGATTAGTTTACTTATTGACTGTGGAATTAAGGCTTTATGGAAATAGATGAAAATATGTTGGGTATCATATAGATGTCAAAGTTTGCCTCCTTCAGCAAAATGAAATAGAAAAATTAAGACTAGAGAGTGACACAAGAATTTAAGTATTTGGTACTCTGTGTATATCAGAAATGAGCATCAAACTCTGTAAGCCAATAGATTCTTAGTGGTAATGTAACATCTTGAAACTGATATAATGTGGATTAGGGCCATTCTACTCTTAGCAGAATGCAAAGCCCATGTGAGTCAGTGGAAATCAAAACATAACAAAATTGCATGAATTAGTGAGGAATTCATCTATCTTGCATTACATAAGATCCATCAGCGGAGCATTGATACTGGCAAACCTGTTCCTGGTGACAGCATTATATAGCAGTATTTCTAAGAGTCCACAGATAGTAAAAGTATTTGTCCAATCCAGGGGCAATTTGAAAGTTATACAAAACAATTATTGTTTTTGAAAACAATTGATACATCTAAGAAAACAGTTCCTGAAGTTGTGTACTGTACTGCTAATGATTATACTTCTCTCTCTTCAACAGGAGACCCTAACAAAAGTAGCCTTTGAGTAGTTTACTAGCAACTGCATACAGCAACGTCTGGATAGCAAAGGATAACTGATTCCTATCAGTAGCAATCATTCAGCAAGTTACATGAGGAAAATATGTGGTCATTTCTTTAAAAAAAAAGATAGTTCACTAGAAAAATCATATAGAAATCTCACTGATGGCTGAACTGAATTATTTCATTATCTCTCTCTTATAGTATCCTTAGCAAAAACTAAACTATATATATATGAAATAATAAAATTGAATTTCTCTTCAGCATAGAATAGTTCTGAAAGAACTAACTTAATTTAGAACAAGTAATCAAGCATCAAATGGTTGAGTTGAATAACAAAAGAAAAGCCACATTATTGAGGTAGATGTAGTTATCTTGATGTTCCAACAGTCATGTAACTAAAAATAAGCTAAGAATCTACAGGATGCAAAACAGGAAACGTTGAACATCCACCTTAGAGGTATATATTTCCAAGCCACTTCATACTAAACAGATGCCCTCGGCAAAGTTGTGAGTTCAGTGTTAATTTGGTGAGAAACGTGAGTAATGGTACAGATATAAGAAAAAGGAAAGATCAGTTGAAGCCCAGGGTTCCATGTTAAAATTATGACAGATAGCGTAAAAATATAGGAACTGTTACAGGTGGAAAGTCTAAAATAACTTTGACTTTGTTTCAGTCACTGATTTTAGGCCCACAGAAAGTAACCTTTCTAAAAGAATTGGAACACATTTTGGATAGCACATAATAATTTGTAGGGCAATAGCATATACTAATCCTCCCTAGCTGGGAGAGGCCTTTACTCATTAAAGTTTTATCTATTTCAAACAGAAAATCTTTCTTGTAGCTAAAGCATTCATGGTGAAACTGAAACCATAGCTAGCATTGTAAATCAACATTATCCGGAACATCAAGCTGAGTCTTCTCAAAATTTGCTGTTCAAACAAGACAAAATAACATATCCATCTATTGTCTAAGGCTGACATTCCATTTGCTCATGTTCCTCTTTGGAAAAAAAAATAGCAGACAACAGGGCACATTACTACTTGTACTAAATTCTGTGTCGGTGAAATATTGCAACATAAAAAAAATCATTCTTTAGTATTGTTGGATAATTTTCATCCAGAATGAATTTTTATCTTCTTTCTTGTTTATTGTGGATGCTTATTATATTAAGACTTTCAATAATTCATACAGTTTATGAGCACAGAAAGAAAAAATGAGAATTATGACTTGCAATCTAATCTGAAAGACTTGCTCCCTATTATGTCAATATGGCTCACGAAAGTAATGTTGAAGGCTATAATTTGGTATAGAAATATAATATAATCATCTATGTGACAAAATGAACATTGGGACAAGTGTCTGAAATTGCTGGTCAGTGTACTCTAGACAGCCATATTATTCCTTCCATCTCTTAGCATCCTATACAGAAACTTGGGTATATGTGAAGAGGTATATAATCATTCAAAAGCTAGGATTAACCATGGTAAATAAAATTCAGTTTCCGTTAAAATGAATAGAATAACCAACAAGAATCTATCATTTAGATTTCAGATAGCACCACCAGATAGCAAGATCTGCCTACTACCAATAGATACTGCTTTCCTAATCAGAGACTGGGTATAATCTCTATGTTATTATAACAAAGGGACTTAAGGTTTCACTTAAGTGTAAAAATAATGCCAATGAAGTCTTATCTCTTCTCTGTCCATGTTAATACAGGTAGTCTTTGACTTACCACCACAACTGAGCTCAACATTTCTGTTGCTAAGTGTTGTTAGGTGAGTTTTGGCCCATTTTACAATCTTTCTTGCCAGGATTGTTAAGTGAATCACTGCAATCATTCAGTTAATAACATGGCTGTTAAGTAAATCTGGCTTCCTGATTGACTGCTTATCAGCAATTCGCAAAAGGGGATCATATACCCCCGGGACACTGCAACCATCATAAGTACAAGTCACTTGCCAAGCCTCTGAACTTTGATCATGTGACTGTGAGGATGCTGCAATGGTTGTAAGTGTGAAAAGTGGTCATAAGTCACTTTTTTCAGTGCCGTTGTAACTTTAAACAGTCACTAAATGAACTGTTGTAAGTCGAGGACTACCTGTATATGATTAAACAGTGGAATAATAGCAGAAAAGAGAGAACAATGATTTCAGTGAGAAAAGAAAGGGATAAGAAAAGAACATAAAAACTGCAATTTATCAGAGAAGAAAACCACCAGGAAAAAAAAGGTAAGCATGTGTTAAATTCCCAGTGAAATTAACATTGAAAATATTAAACGAATTTAAAATATAGCAGTGTTGTCCATCTGACATACAGGAAAGCAAAATGCCCTATACATTCTGTAATGGAGGTACAGCTCTATGCATGATGAAACATAACGTTCCATCACAGATTATTAGTAAACATGTTGACCAGACCCAGAGAAAAAAAAATAGTTTCATAAGCACCATTGAATGCAATGAGGAAACATGCTGCCATTTCAATGGGGTTTAAGTAAAATTATATTTCCCTAGGAATGAACACTCAAATGAATTTCAGTGCTATTAATGAATGATTGAGATAGAATGAAGACTGACATGAGCCATCTGCAGCAAAAACTCACTGCTTTATCCTGAAAAAAAATATTTAAGAAGTATTTATTGGGGCTGTGGTGTTTTGGATTTGAAGGCAAATGGTTTGGCACTTCAGATTCCAAGACTGAATCTGAAGCAGCCTCACTTTTTCCCGGGATCTCCTGAAGGTTTGGTGTGTGATTCTGGAAAAAGATGGGTTTGATTTAAGGAGTTGCAGATAGGTATCGTTTGCACTTCCATGCACTCTGAATCAGCTTTTTCACTTCCACATCTAAAACACTGCCCAGTCCTACCATTTATAGCATTGAGAGTGGACCCACTTTGTTTTACAAAGCATTCAAAAGCAAGCTGACAACTTCAGAGGGATCCAAACAAGAATTTAAAGAAGGATTCCCGGAATGAGCAAAAAGTTTTAAAACCAAATTACAAATTTAGTTTCTAAAAGTATTTTTAATGTTGCAAAATATGTCACCGTATTACTGATAAAACTAATCATAATGATTTTTTGAAAGAAAATCTTTTTCTTTTTTAAAAAATATCCTGATTGCTATCATGTTATAAATTTGAGCAATGCATTCAACGGGTCTCAACACATAATTCAAGTTGATTACTGCATACATTTGCCCCACACAGCAAGAAAAAATGCATTAAAAAGGAAAAAGGCTACTGTCCTCAAGAATCCCTATGTCCACATCTAACTGATCCTGGAAGCGGGGGGGGGGGGGGGGGATGGCCTAGTTCAGTCCAGATTCCTTTCCCTCCTTCTGCAGCAGCTAATCAGCGCTGTTTGGTGCTGATCATATTTATAGGAAAGTGGGGAATGAGAGGTGGGAAATGCTCACGCCCAGAAGCTGGCATTTCTGCTGTACTTGGTCATCAATAGATTGGGGACCTTGCCGGCAAGCAATCATTTAATAACAAGAACAACAATAATAGCACGATTTGGACTACTCAGTTCCCTGAGAAACTATTGTGCTACAGAAACCCATTGGAACTACAAGACAGAGAGAATAAAATCCCAGGAGCCTGATTTTTAAAACTGTTTTCCATTTGACTCTAATAACATGGGAGTGGTACCTTGAATAGGTAGCACTTGGGCCTTTCTTTCTGACATGCAGAATATACACATGTGGTGCTACCACAAACACAACCAAATGCAATGCGAAATCTATATAACCGACAGCTCCTGTTCTCTTATCACCGTGGGGCCCTATCCTGGTCACTGCCTGATGCAAAGTGAAATGAGCTCTGAGCCATCTATAATCAAGAACCATTGTGGGTATTTGTTACTGAACCATTTGTTCCACTTGAAGTGGTCCCATTCTGTCCTTGGTTTATGGTGCACTGCTGAGCATGGTCACAGCAGTGGCAGTAATTTTATCATTTCTTGTGAAACTTCTGGATAGGCTTTTGCTTCCACAATAATGCCTATTGAAACAAACTTTACATTAAACACTGTAGAATTTCTGAGTTCTTCAGAAACCTGTCTGGGTGCAGGCTAAATTCAGGACTGTCCTTCTGCTGCACAGTCATACATGGCCCTCTGATTCACTGCCTTCAGTCACTGTCTTCTTAAGCTCAATTTCTGAAGATGGCTTTTCCTCCTTCTCTTCCGTAGTTTTACTGGCCTCCTCCTACAGCCAATAACAAATGCCCCATGTGGGTGTTAGGGGAAAGGTACAAGCACATGTTTAAAAAACAATAGGTCTTTCAATCTAAACTGATCAATGAAAAAGAAATTACTCGCTAGGAACACTGTAAAATTTGCTAAAACAAAGATGGGTATGAGACTCAGAATGGAAAATGAAAGTTGTTTACACAACTTCTGAATCAATCAGTAATTCACAAAACCTCTGAACTTTCTAAATATATATCTGGTATAAATTGGAAGTATATGAAATATTATATATATTCAATATTATGAAGCTGTACTTTGAGCACGTGAAAAAGTATTAAGTGATTGAAGGAAAGATACTTCACTGTTCTTTGTTAACTATTTTGATTACCGTTACATAGAAATAAACAGAAATCCTTTAAACCGGGGGTGTCAAATTTGCAGCTCATGGCCAGATGTGTCACCCACTAGCCATGGCCACTGCAAGTTTAGTGAAGGGGGAAAAAGTCACAATATGTCATGTGACGCCCCTGCTTTAAAGGAATCATCTCCATTGTCAAAATAACATGACTGAAATTATTTCATTCCTATGTTTGTGTAATGGTTACAAGAATTATAGCAGTGCTATCAGATTATTGGAAATAATTTATAATAAATGAATGTGAATGAAGCTTGACATTTTATATGCATCAAACAAAGGAAATTGTATTTTTACAATACTTCTGTACAATTCCATAAGAAATCCTGTAATTTAACAATGGTTGGAAGGGGGCCATACTGGCAAGGTGCAAACCTTTGCATCTCTCTCTGCAAATTTCTTGAACATGTTGGCATATATCTTTCGGTCCCGTTCATTGTGCTCCTTTGTTTTCTTCTGACACATGGTAATTTGTGACTTGGCTGCCTTATTCTGTGGATTCACTTCTAGCACTCTCTGAAAGTCACATTTTGCCAACTCAAATTCATTCATGAGCAGCCTTGCCTCTCCTCTTCGGTACAAGCCCTTTTCATTGGCTTGGTCCAATGCTAATGCCTGCAAACAAACATTCTTATAATTAACATAAATTAAAGGTGGAAAAATTCCCTCATAATAAAAGACATGGTTAGTAATGCCAGTAACAAAACTATGAACCCCACCTATTTTCAAAATAGGAAGGTAAAACTAAAGCTTCACACTGCATATGCTAAATTTTACAATGTAATTATCACATGTGTACCAAAACAGAAACTAAAATTCAGAAGCAGATTGTTTTATTAGATTGTTTTACAATGCCACATATACTACTATAGAAATAAGAAAAACTATTATTGTAAAAGCAAAGTATTAAAAAATCTATCATAGCAATCTGTCTCTCAAATATTCTGTCATTACAATTATAATAATCTCTTATACTAATCTTCAAAATGGATTTTTTTTTGCCCCAAATTTAGATATTATGGAGCACAGCTTTTACAGCTACAAATGGAATATTCTAGAAATAGTAATATGATACTATGACTAAATGTAAATGGATATAGTGTTTACAACTTCCAAATGGAGGCTAAACAGAAAACTTACAGGCAAAGTTTATATGATGACTCATAATGCCCAGATATTTATAGTGTTGTCTAAAAACACATGCCTTTCTTTTATATAATTATCTCAGTAACATAAATGTTCTGTCTCACTTTTAACACATTGTTCTAGCTGTACTATATTCAGAAATCTGTATAACTTGAGGAATATCTTGGGAGAAACAGCTTTAAGCTTGTACTGGTGAAAAATAATACTAAACAAGATATTTAATACACTGTTCATGATACAAAAGTCATCCAGGAGTTTTATCAACAACATTTTAATCAATGATTTGGATGAAGGAATTGGGACATTCACAAATTATGCAGAGGAGAAAAGATTGTGTGGGGTGGCTAATTATTTAGATTAAAGAGAAGTTTAAAAAGTATCTACTTCAGTACAAGACTGATATGAATAGGATATAATTTAACAAAGAGAAATTTAAAGTTTTGTGTCTGGATAGGAAAAATATAAAGCACTTCTACAACATGGGGGAGATCTGACTTATCAGTAGTATATGAGTGTCCTTGTCAGCCCCATTTGAAGTACTGTCTCCCATTCTGATTAGCAAAAAGGACAGTGAGGAATTGAAATAAGTTCAGCAGAGGTATACCAAGATGATGTAAGCTCTGAAAATTAAGTCCTCTAAGGAACAATTCAAGGATCTGAGTAGCTTAGCCTACGGAAAAACAACTGATGGGCGATGCAATAACAATCTGTAATGGTATGTGGAAATGACCTTGGGGGAAGAGAAGGAAAAACCAGAGACTAGACAATTGTCAGACAAATAGCAGCTGAGTCTGCAGAAGAAATGGGGACATGATAAATATCACAGAAGGGACCTCCCTAGTTTCTTGGACTGTAAAGATGAGGGTGAGAGATGAATTCTGTCAATGTACCCTTACAATAAAGTTAGAATTAGCATTTCTGCATGTCTTGTCTGAACTACCTCCCAAGGCTGACACAAATCTATATTAAACATTATATAAAATTATATAATCAAATGTATAAAAATAAATTAGAAAGTTGCCCTTAGCTCCCTAAATGCTACAAAATTATTTTACGTAACACAATAATTATCCAAGAACTTTAAGAACTTAAGTTGTCAACTTTTCTACATTTGTTAGATATAGAAATATATATCTATTTGCTTTGTAGAGGGTGGGTGTTTTTGCATCATTTTGATACATATTTCTAGTATATTTAATTAACTGGAGCAAAAAAAAAAACCAGAATGAAAATTAAGCAGATTGAGAAAATACTGTAATCAAACATCACCAGTGCTTCCCCAACTCCACAAGGCTAGATGTGTTTTTACCTTATTGCAGTACTCAATTGCTTTAGTGTATTCCCGTAGCTTTAAGTAGCACATAGCAAGGTTGAGGAAGGCTGCCAACAATAAAGATTCTGAAGCTTTAGATTCCCTTTCTGATAAGCCATATTCCATTTCTAACCAGGATACGATCTTTCCATACTGAATCACTGCTTGCAAGTACTTGCCTTCCTAAGAATAATATTAAATAAGGTTAAAGAGGAGTATTACATTGAAAAATGGAACAAATTTATTTCTTAAACGTTGGTTATAATTTGAACAATCAGTAACAGAAGAATGAAGGGAAAGAGGAACATTTCAATAGGAAAGAAGTGGGCAAATTGCAATTAAGAATTTTAATACCAGAAAGCTGTAATGTCAGATGCCCTTATTTTGGCTACATTATGACAGATCCATATTTATTGTACATCAACTGCTCAGAAGCTCTCTAAACCAAAGCCTAGAGATAGTTCTACTTTTAAGAAAACTATATATCACTGAAAGGTAAAGACAAAGGTGGATGTTAAGAAGGAGAGATTCTCTGAGCAAATAAATAAACTACAGAAGGCTTATCAATAGGAGACAGGTTTTTTTCTAGCAATGCTAACACATACCTTAAAATACACAGTTCCTTTTTCTTTAACAATGGCAGCCTGTTCTAGTTTCTCTTTGGTGTCCATCTCCCAGGATTCTTTGGCCTATAATCAAGTATTTATAACAATAATCAAATAACAGAAAATGATGCAATGCTGAAAATCTAAACTATACCTCATAATACAGTAAATTTTGTCAACTCTTCCTAGTTTCAAGTTTAGTATTACTTAATCCCAATAAGCAAACAATGAAATAATTATATATAAAAATATTCACAAATTTATATTTGGTTTATATTTAGAACTTAAGGCAGAGTGAAATTTGAAGTAGCCCCATATTGATATCATTGATATCTTCTTTCTAGCCCAAATTATATTCAGCTCCACTTAAATCTGTCCTGAAGACAGAGGAGTTAAAAAATCTGAAAGGATAACCCAGAATATTGAAAGAAGCCTATACAATTTTCTTGAGGGTAGACAGATTTCTTTCATGTAAGTTTCCTTCCTGTTAACATTTCCCATTATAAATTGGCATCAATGCTCCACCTTATGTACATCTTGTTCCTTCCCTGTACTTTACAGAGATGGTACATTCTCCATCACCCTAAAAAGGGCACAGCCTGTTCAGCAATTTTGCCCTGCCCTCCTTTCAGTACTGTTTGGCAGGACATGTTTTTTTTCTACAACCAGAAAAAGAAGTACAAAAGGAACAAGCCTAGGACAAGTCTTGGACCCCACCCAAAACAATAAAACACATACAAGAACACTGTGATCCTAGCTGACATATCTTTACCAACTTTTGTGACAAATGTGCCGGATGGAGCTGGAAATGGATCTTCCTAAATGTATTCACTGTAGAAAAGTTCCTGTGGGTAAACATCCAATGTGTACAGGATGGTTTGTTATTTGAAGAAATTCCATTCTCACCTTTTCAAAGCTTTTCAATGTAACTTCATACACAAGTTCAGCATTTGGTTCTATGCCAAATACAGGCTTTCCAGCTTCACCGAACCCATATCTAAAGCAAAGCATGGGAAAAAAATAATAACAGAAATGACTCAGGATAAGGCACATTATTCAGCATTCCGGATATTTACACTCACAGGGAGATAATTGGTTAGCTACATCAGGTCCTAGAGACAAAACATGGGTTGCCTAGGAAACCAATGTCTGAGTAGTTCATTTGGGACAAAACACTTATATACTATACTGGACTCAGTGTTAATATTTTGTATTCAGATTGGATGCAATTATATATTGTGCAATCTATTCAGTTTTTCATGCACTTATTATCCCTTAATTTTTTTTCAAAATCTTGAAATTACATTAAATAAGTGGATATGCAAATAGTAAGAATATTTGAAATAATTGTGTCATTCTATCTACACACTGTTTAGATATCATTTTAGATATATTTAAAAAGAACTGGTTTATTCTAAAACAATTTACATTATATAACAATCTCACTGGCAGCTACCACCAGCTACCAGCTATGGTGTTAAGTATAAATGAGACCTGTATAAAAGCTATGTAAAAATAGACTGAGAGCCAGGTTGTTGTACTGGTTAAATGTATCAGGCTAGAAACTGGGAGTTCTAATCTTGCTCTAGACATGAAAACCACTAATGATTTTGAGCCACTCATTTACTCAGTCTGGGAAGGAACCAATGGCAAGCCACTTTCAAAAATCTTGCAAAAAAAGAAAAAAGCCATATAGGCTTCTCCAGGTGGACACTGGAAGACAAGACTTGAGCTAAAGACACCAAATAAATAAATAAAGGAGGGTGGGGGGACAAACACTGCTCCCACACTTCTTACTGTGTTCCTATATGCAAGATACAGTGTTCTCCTCTTTGCATCTTCTCCAGAGCTTTGTCAATTCCAATGGGAATGTCATGGTCTTCCCCTTCTCCTACAGTGAATGCTACATCTCTACAATCAAACATTCTGCCATCACAGAAACCTTTCAAATGAACTGTTTGGGAGAAAGAGAAATGTTATGCAATGTAAGGCACTACCAACAACATTTCAATATGCATTAAACAGCATAACCAAAACATATCATTTGTTGACATTCTTCTCTTCACCATGGCTGGCATAACAGAAGAACTTGGTCCCAAAACAAACTTCAAAATCACATTGTTTTTGATTTTTCCCTATTTCTAAAATGAGTCTAAACTGATTGATGTTAAATTAAAAAAACTAGATAAATTTTATTTTCTTATTTATTACATTTATGTTCCACCCATCTCGTCCAGAGGCAACTGTTCTTAGCCTACAGAACTGAAGACAGGTTTACTCACATTGTGGGCTGGTTCCCTGAGGCAATAGTTTGAAGACGGCAGCTCTCAGTATCAGGCAGTAGAATCCTGCCTGATTTTGAACCCAGACTGGAATTGTGTTGCAAAAGCTACTAACATTCTGCCTGAACACAAAAAGCTGCACTGCATTACATTGGCAGGATATAATTTCTTTGATATTTTGGGGAGAACATGGTGAATTTAGATAAGAGCAAGAACTGAGAGGAGAAATCTGCTTCAAAAGGAAGAGCCAGACAGGTTTATCTTTGTTGCCAAGCAAAGTAATATGTCTGTTCTATCAATGCTGTGAACAAGGCATTAGTTTGCTTTATTATAAGTACTATAGATTAACATTACAATGTATAAATATGAATAGTTTCTGTTTCTGTTTTATTATTTAGTAAAGAATGACAACAAACAAGAAGATATCAGTAATATTCTTAAAGAAAGCTATGTTCAGATTCTAATGGAATAATTCCCTCTGCATTATAGCTCATAAAAGAAAAAGAGAAAATGTATACATGCTGTCTAAAATAGCACTACAAAGGTTGTGCTTGTCTGGTGTATGGTCAGGATAAAAGAAAAAAAATGCAAAATTAGCACAAACTATTGCAAATATCTCAGACATCTTTACAATTACACCTGCTAAGTAACATGAAAGTATAGGTATGCGAGTTTTTTCCCTTCAAAGATAGATAAAATGATATTAAGTTGAAGAATGCTCTAAGAATACCATTCCACATAAATATGATCCTAGATATAAAATGAAGTTATAAGGTTAGTAATAAGGAATTAAGCGATTGAGAATTCTGGTGTTCACTGATCACTAATGCTAAGGAGGGTTAGACCTGATTAGAAACTGATTATAAGACTATCATGGAAACATCAAGGCCATAGGCTAGACTGGAAGTAGAAAACAATTCATGGAAGAAGGCAGTTGTAAAATACTTCTGTTATGTTGCCAAAAAACCAATAATAATAATAATTGGAAGGCATCCAAATAGGGAAGGCTAAGCCAGATTGTTGTTGACAGAAGTTATGCATATGTATACGCATATGTAGGAACTGGCATTTATGTGTGTGAGAATGACTGGGCATAACCTCTCTCACTAACCCTTTCCACCCTCTTTTGCAATCTCCAAAGCACTCAGTATAATCCACCAATCCCCAACTAAAGAACATGAATCCTGTATTCATTCTAAGCCAGAAATTGTGGTATACAGATGAGCAAGATGTCTTTCAATGACTGTGAAGGGAAAAGCCCAATGGCACATTGGCATGACAGATTGTCAATACATGTTAAAGCCTATGTCAAGTAAATATAGTAATTACAAAGTTACACTGTGTTCTACAATGGAAATACATGATGAATCTTGCAATCATGTAACAGGCACGCTCAAGGTCAGGCCACCATAGGAAACTTACCTAACCATAAAAATGGCTCCCTTGACCAATCATAAAAAAAATCATTTACCAAAAAAAGGAAGCATTCCCTTCCTCACCTGAGAATATAGGGTTTTGGCGGTATTTGTTTGTTTGTTTGTTTGTTTGTTTGTTTGTTTATCTTAACCATCCATCTTCCTCAGAGAAAGCCTCTGGGTGATGTACAATATAATACCATCTCTCTAAAAATCATTTAGAAAGCAACATAGACAGAGGTATGATATAAATCAGAAGAGATGCCTAGGAACATTCCAGAACCCAAGGCACCAATTGCCTATCTCTGTACAAATTGTGCTGTAATTTATCACCCAAACCAGGCCACATATGAAGTCTAAGCTAGAGATTAGTCTATTGACTAGAATCTGCAAACAAATCCAGAATTGTATTCAGGCAATGCTGTTCTAAATGCCTAGATATTATCAAAAGTTTGTTCAATTGCCCATCATTCAATGTAATATTTGTATTCAGTGTATTCCATACTCTTCAACCAAGAAATGCTCAAGACAGCTATCTCACATAAATAAAAGATTCAGGTCAATCAGCATGGTTTGAATTTAAGTGATGTAGTTTTATTATATTCTTTAGCTTACCAATGCCAGAATGTTTTGTTATAATTAACATTGCTATTTCAGTAGTCTATGGATGAATTTTACACAGGGGTGGGATTCAAATTTCTTAACAACTGGTTCTGTGGGCATGGCCTAATTTGTGGGTGTGGCTTGGTGGTCATGTGACTGGGTGGGCGTGGCTTGCTGTCTGGATGTGGCTTGGTGGTCATGTGACAAAGCTTGTATGTAAATATTGTAAATATTTATGTAAATATTGAATTTTTTATAAAAAGAGTAACTTTTACCCAAAATCAGGCAAAGCAGGCAGGCAGATTGAGTTGCTCCCAGAATCACAGATTCACTTAGAGATCTACCATTCTGCAATCTGCTACCTGAGTCTACACTGAAAAATAGAAGCTTCAGTCCTAAGGAAGGTTCAGCTCTGCTTTTATATTAGCTAGAAAGCAAGAAATCCAATGATTTCCTGCTTTCTAAATCTCCTGGCACAGCAGAACAGCTGATGGTTGGGTGGGGGGGGGAAGGGAAAATAGCAACTTACTGAAGGCAGACAAGTTTGATGACTTGCATGCCATGTCAGGAGTGAGGGGGCGGGGCCAGCCAGTGGTGCAATTTGTCAGTTTTCCAAACTGGGCAGAATCATAACTATCAGTTCTATTGAACCGGTCTGACCAGGTAGAATCCCACCCCTGATTTTACATACACTGAGCATTTTGTCATTTTATTTCTTTGTTTGCATTACTTACAACCTTCCCTCTGACTACTTTGCTAGCTTACGAAATGCTTCAAGCATTTTATGAAAAAGTTTCTAGTCTAGGAAGATTTATAATACAATACTTAGGCACTACAACTTCTTGTATTTGTACCCCCATGTAAAATTTAGTTGAACTCTAGTAATCCTTTGCTTCTTCCTTGTAATTTCTAACCCTTGGCCTTCTCATACTGAAGTAATTATTTTGTGTTCTAATAAAAACAATTGCCAATATAAATATAAGACTAATATAAAACAAAACAACCCTCTCTTCTTAAAAGTCTTTTGCACTGGAAGCCAATATTACGAATTTTAGGTATCTGTGGATCATCAAGTATGCATATCATGAAAAAATTGAAATGTAGCAAGATGCCAGAAATTTAGCATAAAATGCTATAAAATGAAATTGGATAGGAATTCAAAACCACTTTCCACCAGAGATTTTGTTCACATAAACAAAGAGCTCATGTCCTTTTGAAATGTGAGCTTCATTCCATTATTATTAATACAGATTCTACAGCTTGCATTTTTCTTTCTATTTGACAATCTCTTGAGTGCAATCTCTTATACTACTGTACATCAATAGAAAAATACATCTTTTCTGGATGGAAAAACAGAACAGAAAGCATGTCCATCTAATTCGCTATGGCCTATACTGTTTAGTAAAATAATAAAAAGAGGATTGTAATGCGGCTTTGAATTCTAGGAGCTCTCTCTTTATGTCTGAGAAACAATACTTTTGCTATAGATATTTAAGATTCTTGTACGTATGCTTTTCACTTTCCAAGTCCTGTCCTATGACTCTCAAATTGCTGGTAACAATTATTTGTCTTTTGCAAAAACAAACAAAAGGAAATCCAAACAGTATTTTTCTTTTCCTGAGCAATGTTAATCTCCTTTCTAAGTACCCTATCTGATGCAATATTTAGGTGTTGTATTGTGTATATTTCTCTAAAGTATGTTATGAGTGGCTTAAGGGAACATGAAACCTGTCTACAGTAATACATGGAAGACTTGCAGTACTGAAGTTGTTAGTCGTTGTATCACTGGTGCAAGAATACAATGGCATCACCTTATGTGTTATGATACTTTTGACTAGTAGATATGCATTTAGATTAATTATCTCCCTGTATTCTTAGGTAGCATATTGTGTTAGTGTCAACACAGAATCTACTGATAGCTGTGAAGGAGTTTCCATAGATTCTAATCTATTATTTTAAAGACATTTCTATTTTCCAGGTATAGTTTTGAGTGCGTATTATGTACAATAATCTTTCTGATGTAAAGTATCACCGTATATTATTGTTTTTGTAGAATTTATGTGAGCTGTTCATTGAAAACAAGATAAAAAAACAAAATATTTTATATAACTATAACTGGGCAATAAAATGTCATCCTAATTTAAAAAGTAGTGGCAATTTAGTGTGAACTTTGAAGCTCCTTTTCCGGATAATAAAATGGGTTCCTGCAATGTTTTGTTAACTTTATAATTTCCACTCAGTATCTTTATCAGGATGTATGAGGTGTGGGGGATTGTGGCTAGAAAAAAGTGTAATGTACAAATTTTTTAGCTCATATTTAAATATAATATTAGATATATACTACCGGTAATTTGTAGTGGTCCCATTCTGTTCTGTGCCAACAATCTTAACTAAATTCACTCTTTGGTAGAATGATTCTTCATGAATTGTATAAATATAGTACAGGAAATACTTCCATAACATGATTATCAAAGCTTACTTAAATACTATCTGAAAGAGATCACTTGGGTTGAATTACACTTGGATTGCACAGTAAGAAATTCCAGCCAGACTAGGGAACATCAGTTCAGCTGTTGAGTTGACTTATTGTTCTCTGTGTGCCTAGAGCAATTTTGTTTTGAAGAGCACAGAACATTGTGTTCTTAATGTGGCTGGCACATGAACTCTGTGCACTGACAGCAATTTGTACAACTTGATTAAAACAGCAGAGGGCTGCATAGTAACTTGAAATGCAAATATCCAAGTAGTCTGTGTTTTAGGAAGCATAGCAGTGAAATATGCCCTATCATTCAAGTTAACAAGACTGTCTTCATAAATCCTATCCTAAGATTTTAACACAACTACATGTATGTCCTAATTATAATAATGTCAGGAGTCTTTAAATTAGCTTCCTAGCTAATGCTGGGTTTTACTACAACTCAGAAAAAACACTATCGGTTAATGATTGTTGTGCAAGTTTAATCGCCCGCTTGTCTTCAAAGTACAGTCAGAACTACTTTTCTGGTTTTCCACCAACCTACTATATAAATCAATCAAAACATTTCCACTTTACTATAGTTGGTAAGAAATCTGAAATGGGTTCTCAATCCAATGACTTTTGTCTCCTAGAATAGAAGATAATAACAGACATACTTATTTAGAAAATTTATATGGCTGCCTACTTGCTCACAGCAACCCTAGGTGGCTTACAAACAATAAAAACATAGTATAGAAATCTTTTTTTTTTAAAAAAAAAATCCCTTACCCTGGGTAACATCATACAGCCAAATAAGCCATTGATGAGCTCCATCCCACTCTGGGTTCCCAGGCTCAGAGGCACATTATATTTCTTTCCTTTAGAGCACCTTATTTCCATGCCACTCACAACTTATTTTAGAGTTGTTTTCATAATTTTTGACAATACAGATACAAGCTAAGGTCAGAAGATGTGGAAGCAATACTATTTAATATGTTTCCCTTAATTGGCAATCCCAAGAAAATTAATGAGAGAACAAACAGGGAATTAGAACAGGCATGAATAAAACTCCAGTCTTACAAGGATAACAGCTTACATGATCAGGGAAGGAAGCAAAAGGGAGGAGGAGAAAAGGGTTAGTAACAGTGCATGCAGAACAGGCAATCAAACGTCATCTCTTTTCCCTACAGTAATTTATTTCCAAGATAAATTGTTTTTTAAAAAAGCTACCCCCCGCCCCGCAAAAAGCAGAAAGCTAGCAAGGATGTGGAAGCACAATGCCTTGCCAGTTGTAGGTCTGTGCACATGTAATAAACTCCAGGGAGTTGATCAAGAAAAGTTGAAGGAGACAGAAATAAAGTAACAGTGAAAACTGGTAAAGATGTGACGGAAGCATTCCACATTCAATCTGTCAGTTCTACTGCTATTACAGAGAAAGCATACCAGTCTAAGGGAGCATAAAATAGGCAAATCCCATGGAAGATGGACAAAGTACAGACACCTTTATCTGGCAAGAATATGTCTGTCAGAAGCTTTTATGCTGGGATTCAGTATTAGAAACATAGGGTGATGAGTGCAACGGACAAACACACTGTACAAACTGGTCCTACAAGCATGAAGCCTGTTGATTATCACATGCCATCTAGATATTCCAACATAAGGAATGAAGAACCCTACCCTACAGTATCAGTAGAATATTATTCTTCCTCCTCAATAATATTCTTTATAATTTAAAGAGAAAGTTTATAAAAAGGTAGACTGTATTTTCCCAACTTTTTTTTTTCACAAGGAGGAGAAACGAAGCCCAGGGAAACTCCAGCTTGATAGAAATGTGTGTCAGAAAATTAAACTAACCTCCACTACTGGGCCTGGATATTATAATTTAGATATATGTCTAAAATGATTCAATTGACTTTACCACCTATTTTTCATAAGCCTCATCAGTAATAAAGCAAGATGAAGGAGATGAAGTACAGTAGTTGTTCTCTCAGTTAATGGAAAATATTAACAGATGGCTGTGATTTTTATTGGTTTATATTTTTTAAAAAAACCATTTTCTTATGTGTCACTGGAGTTGCATACTGCCCAAAGAAATGTGGTTATTGGGCATTTCTGAAGAATAGGCAAACAAACAATTTAAAATACCTACAAATATGTCTACAATGATTTGTGGGTTGGATTATATAATCCAGAAGAAAACATATTAATTAAATTATCGTAACCTTGCAATCATAATCATAAAGAAACCAAAAAGCCATAAAGGTGGCAATGGTGAAAGAGGGCATGAGAATAGCATTTGCAATATTAGAATCTTATTTTCTGAGGAATTCATATTTAGCATAAAAAAAATCAGAATATATGTAACTTGTCAGTATAAGCTTAGTCTCCTTTAGAGACCATTGTAGAATTTAGGGTTGATATAGTTTAGAGTTATATCCAAAACCAGAGACAGAGAGAACTTTCAACACAATATTATTATTACCATAACTAACATGACATATCAGTAAACTTTTGCCTCAACAGATAATCTCTCTTTTTAATATTGTAACACAGAGGGAAAAAAAGAATCAGAAATACTATTCATATATTATGCGGGGGGGGGGGGGGGGGGACACAAAGAGAGAGAAAACAATATTGCCATGGATTTTACTATTATAATGTACTTTAATAAGACAGTATAACTATTCTGTGCAATTACCTCAGTATTTTATATAGGCAGAAGAGGATACTCACCAGTGGTGGTATTCTACCAGTTCAGGCCGGTTTGGGCAAACTGGTAGTAAAAAATGTTAACATTTGTCTGAACTGGTAGTAAAAAAACCAGCTACCGGTTCGACTGAACCGGTATTTCTTTTTCTTTTCCTCCTGACAATCAGCTGTTCCAGTGATCAGCTGTTCTGGGATCCCCTCACTATCTTACTGCTTCGCCCAGGAGGCTTCCCTGAGGGCCAGGAAGCAAAAAAACTAAGCACAAGGTGTATGTGTGCTGCACCGCCCCCGCACTCCGTTTTTTGTCTCCTAGGCCTTAGGGAAGCCTCCTGGGAGCAAAAATGGCCACCCAGGAGGCTTCTCTGAGGCCCAGGAGGCAAAAAAAATAATATGGAGTGTGTGCGTGGGGAGGTTGCTGCAAAAAAAAAGGGGGGGGCACGCCCACCTAGCCACACCCACCTAGCCACACCCACAGAACCAATAGTAAAAATATTTGCATCCCACCCGATACTCACTCTGAACAGCTGCTCCTTCATTGGGGTTAGAATATCCTTCACCTTTTTGTTTGATCCTACGAATGATGCCTCCATTATCAAATAAATCCTCTCCTTTGAAATCAAGCAGTTCAATCTAGACAAATAAAAAATAGCTCAAACTTTAAATAATGCAACTTCACATATAAAAGCATATTAAAAAAAACAGATATCTAATATCTAAAGATAAAACTATGTGATGACTCTTCCAGTAAGCCTACTTTCCTCTATAATTATAGAAAAAGGGATATATAAAGTGTTTAGTACAGCTCTTGCATCTTTTCAGTAGCAATATTCTGACAGATTTATCAGTTATCAGAGTAACTGTGGGAATCAGCATTAGACTTCATTAGAGCCAATGATGTGTCAAAGTTAAGTCACTCTTATCTAGAAACATTTTTCTCCCAGATTTAGGATAAGCCCAGCTAAATATCAGCACTTAGTCAAACCCGACTGATCTGAAAGTATTAGATAAGGTTGAATAGGGAGCTATAAAAAAAAATATCAGGGCTATAGTGTAGAATTTAAGTTTAAAAAAAAAAACCACACTAAAAACAATTGAAAATTACTTCCATATTATTGAAAATCAAAATGTTATTTAAAGGAGTCTATTTTAACTTTTTTTTAATTTGCACATAGTTCACTGATATTTTATTTACTCAGCCTTGCCTAGGGATCTGAGCAAAATCAATGCATTCCTCAGGCTCTGTGCAATGCAGCTTCAGGCCTCCACATCCTTTCTCAGTCTGATCATGCAGAACTGGATTGGAGTCCTAGTTGCCTAAATAACACTTAAATGATAACAATTAACCAATGGAACAGCTTGCTCTCGGAAGTTATGGGAGCGTCATCACTTGAGACTTTCAAGAAGAGAGTGGACTGCCATTTGTTAGAAATGGTGTAGAGTCCCCTGCTTGGGTGGAGGGGTTGGACTAGATGACCTATAAATTCCCTTCCAACTCTGCTTATCTGTTATAACATTTGCTATTTAGTGTTTCAAGAGCATGATCTTTTTCAAGCCTGATACAATTTTACCCCGCAACATGATGTTTGAAGCATTGCCATTGCCGGACTGTGTCAGATAGCTAAGCAGTTCACAATTCTAACACAGAGTATTTGGGGATAGAATATAGGTCATTCAATTAAACTTTCCACTACTGTAAATTTGTCTCAAAGTTTTTATAGGACAATAACAGAAATTTTATAGTTAAAGAAAAAAAAATCACAAGACTAGTGCAAGATAAGAAACTCACAATATTTGTCCCTGTGGAGGAAACATATTTTTATTGGCAACCCTTTCAACAATGTTTTGTGAACTGCAAATAATTTTGTGGCTCGTGTTTTTTTATGCTACAAAAGTTTGAAACTGAACAACAAATCAGGTTTTTATTCTCTTGTTAGTAATATTTACAAGATTTATATGGACGGAAAGGTAATTTTTTATATCTTTAGTTATAGGATTATGTTTTACAGAAAGTAGTTCTATAGATTTAAAGCTATTTAGAATGAATAACTGGATCAAATTACTGTTTTATCCACTAAATAAAAAAATCAGTTTTCTGTTTTTCCATTTTTCAAAGTACCCCCATTTAATTTCAGAAATTATACTTCTATTTATGCAACCTAAAAATGCATTTGCCTTCCTTGCAGCCACATCACTGGCTCATATTCAATCTGCAATCAGCTACTGTGCCAAGATCATTTTTGCAAGTACTGTTATCAAGGCAAGCATTTGGCATCCTATATCTCTGTACTTGATTTTTGTTTCCTTAAGTATTTTGCATGTCTCTCGTATTTAATACTGTTATTTTCAATCAACTTACCCACTTTTCAAGATTATTTTGATTTTGATTTCTTTCTTCCAGAGTAATAGCTATCCCACCCAATCTTCTCTAATTTGCAAAATTGATTAAGCATTGCTTCCCCCCTTTCATGCCTCATCTTACGCGTAAAACTGGATTGCCTAGAGACTTACTTTAAAAAAAATATTTATGATTACCTTCTGCAAGTACATTTTCCCAAAATAAGAAATACAAATATGAATATTATTGGTTTTATCGTCCACAGCTCCTATATTAATTATTTTAGCAAATAGATGTATTAATGACATAAAAATATAATTTACATAGTTTTTATACATTTATATTTTATTGTAGTTCCTTTAGAACCATGGAATTTGAATACCTGTAATAAAAAGAAAGAAAAAATATTTCATAAACTTACCTCAAAAAAGAGGGTTGCGTTTGAGGGGATCTTTGGGACACTACCAGCAGAGCCATATGCATATTCTGGCCTACATAGCAAGTGGCAGATCTCTCCTCTTTTCATAGTGGCAACCCCAATATCCCATGCTTTGATAACCTGACCTAACAAAATGAAAATTTCAATTTAATAATATTGTTCAGTAAGCTTTTCTTGAATCAACTAGAAATACACAATGTCATGGTCAAGTGACAAAATAGGACACTGTACTAAAACTGTACGTCTCAGTGACTTTTTAATCTGACAGTTTAAATAAACTGGAAAGTGCTTTATTGAAGTGGCACTCATTTCAGTAAGGAAGTTCTGCATAATCATCCAATTCAGACTTTACACTACACTGGAGCTTAGCATGATCTGCAGAAGCTTTTCTGCACTGAAGCCTTCAGCTGCTTGTCTTCCATGTATGAAGCAGCTAGAAAGGAAGACAGCTTAGGAAATGTTTGGTCTTTGGTCATACTAATATCCACATATTCTGTTCTGTCCTCACTACACATATTCTGTCCAGGATGTGGTCGATGTGATCTCTGATGAGGGTATTGCCTCCTTCTTTCTACTCTCATCCATGCCATGTAAGCAAGTTGTGATTACTTTCCCTTCTCTGGGCATGGCTTTTGAGGACAGGTGAAGCTCCCCCCACCACAGCTGTCTCAGTTTTACACTTCTATTACTTAGGCTAGAAAAGGATACTTGGCAGAATTCTTGTCCATTCTGCCTGGTTAAAAGAAAAAACAAGAACAAACTTGGCATTTGACTGATCCTCTGCTAAACCTGTTCAAACAATAGTATTTTTTTTTAAAGGCACAGCCAACATTTCAATGTTCTACTACTGAACCTGAAGAAAAGGCATTTCTTGGCAGGCAGCCCAGTACAAAATGGCAGGCAAAGGCAGGGGGTGGGGGTGGAGGAGGGCATGATGCCCATCAGAATAAGGAACAGCCAACTGCAAAAGAGGCATTTGTGTAAGTCAAAGTGAAGCACAGCAAAAAGAATAGGCCATTAGGTTTACTGCAGGGGAGAAAAACAATTACTTTTCGTGGAGAAACAGAGGAAGTCAGGTAAGGTCACTTTCCTAGGAGCCTAAAATGGCTGAAAACAATGTGATCTGTTTTTGCCCTTACCAAGGGGTGGATAACCTCTATTCTAACTGGGCCAAGCAAGTAGTGCAGATCAGCCCTTAATCTCACGTTCAGCTTTCCTTAAGCATGTGACACTAATGCTGCACATGATGTCAGCACTTCAAGGTGGACCAGACTACAAAACCAAAGGTATGCAGGCCAATAAAAACTTTTATTATAATAATATATTAACAGAATCTTGCCAATCTGAATGAGCTCCCCCTCCCGCCCCCTATATTTGTGAGAACTAGGGAGTCTTGTTGGAGACATTTTCTCAGGCTACATCTACTCTGGAGTCAGGCTTATTTTATCTGACCATTGATTTGGTAATGGCTCTTCCACCTATCCTTCCCTTACCCCAAATATAGGACCTTTGCTTAGGAAATCAGTGTCCTACTTCATCCAAATATAGGAAAACATGATTTGTACTGTACTACCAATGATTAATGATTTCAAATACAAAATTAAACTTGTAAAACATCTGCCAAACTTATAGTGTAACATTTAAGTATAGTTTCATGGCTCAATGGGATTCCACCACTGGAGAATGGTAAACCATCCACTTTCTAAGGCAGAAATGTGTATTACAAAACTTACACAATAGAAATTCAAGATCCATACACAATAACTGTACAATTTTTATCAAGCCTTTATATGTTTGCCAAAATCAAAGATCTCATTGTAGTTAAAAGAAATTCAGCTTCAATACTTTGGAATTATCTACTTATGGAGATTTCTTCACAGTGGGATATAATCACGCATAATGGCTTCGAAACTAAAGAATGTAGAACTTAGTATTACTGCTTTTGCTTAAACTTAATAGGCAAAAAAAAATCAGCCGAAAGGTTGTATATATTGCCAATTATAAATGACAAAAACTTATGCTGCCACAAGAAATTTGTTAGTGTTTGTGTTTATTGTTACAGATGTACCTTACTCTTTACCTGAAAATTACCTTTTTCAAAAAATAATAATAAAAAGTGCCAGTTTCCTTATAGTGCTTAAGCAGATTTTTTTTTTTAAAAAAAACCTACAATTAATAACTATGTTGTTTTATTACACTTTGACATATCAGAAAAAGAAGAGGAAGACTTCAATGCAATGGTGGTATGCTACCGGTTCAGCCTGGTTCTGCCGAGTTGGTAGCGGTGATGAGCAGTGGAAACCAAACCGGTTCTCTCTGCCACTCTGCTATTGGGTCGGGCTCCCATACTCATCTTTATCTTCTGCTTTTGAAGCGCAGCTGCTTTGCGCGACAGCTGCTGAAACAACTAGGAGAGTGCAGGCTTGCAGCAGGTGAGTTGGAATGCCTCTGCGCCTGCGCAAAGTGCGTGTTAGTGCGTGCATGCACATAAAGTGTGTGCAAGCATGCAAAGCGCACCCACCAAGCCACGGCCACCGAACCAGTGGTAAAAGTTTTTTAATCCTACCACTGCTTCAATGGGACTGCAACCTGATAATCTGAAATCATTCCCAGTGTCCAGGAATTAGGGCAGAATCATTTTGATATGAATGGAAATAGCAGGATGCTCTCCTCTTTCCTTGCCCAGGTTTTCCTTTCACACTCAAAATCTGCTCCAAATCAGGTTTTGTTGAATGAATGACAGGCTGACATAAATTGTCTCTTTCCATTCTGATAATGGAAACCATTGTAGCTGATAAACATCCCATCCATTCTACTGCTGTTTTACTCTTAAAATTTAACAAATATTTGAACATATTTCTTTAAAATGTTTGTTTTTTTCATTGCTGAACACATTAACAGTAGAAGGTCTAATGAAAACATCGAGAATGCTACACGTGAAAATGAAAAAGACTTTAGACAGCTGATTTTATTCTGATGACAGCTAAATGTGCTCCATTGCTTAGAGCGCCACTTGACAAAAATCATTATAAAGCAGCTTTATACATAGGTTGAACCATGAACTTCTCTTCCTTCACAGTTCTGCAATCAGTCTGCTTGGCAGCTATGCCAAAATTCATCAGATGAGAGAGAATCTTACTCTGTCAGAATTATAAGCCTTTAAAAAAAAAACCAAATCAAAAAGATACAGTATTGCCATTAGCCAAAGTATTTTTCCACAGTCAAAATAAACAGTGACATGCAGTTTCATATAATTTATGTTTGTTTATTAAACTATCTCGGATTGTAACTGATGGGAAAGGCAGAGACACATTTTTATGTTCCGTCAAAACAGAAAAGCATATACAAAACTAGCATGTCAGGAAGCAAGGTCAGGCATTTGATTCCCCACCCATAATCAGTAACAGATACATCACATGAGGCCACTAATCATGTACATTTTATTCACATCTGAAAACTCCAGGCTTGCTTTAAATGTATTTATAAGCCTATAAGAAGCTGGCCACTGTACAATGAGTGGAGGAAGATTTCACTCTCTGATAATTCTTAATGTTTACAAACAAAGCAAGTGCTGTGTTAGCCTTGATGGTAAACTAGAAATTTAGTCCCTGCCTGGAAAAAGAAGGGAGTGAGAATATATGTTTTGCAAGAATGATACACAGCTAGTCATGCTTGCACAAAAACATTAGTAAACATCTTTTTCCATTAAATATGGCAACATACTTTCTGAATTACAGAAGTGATGGTGCAGCATTTTCACTAGAACTGCTAAAGGCAAATCTACCCTACAAATCTGAACTATTAGAGCAAGAGCAAATTAGCATAACAACTTCATTCAAGAAAATAAGAAGTTGAACATGATAAATGCACATACAAAAAAATTTCCTCTGAAAGGCCCCTAATCTTATGACAGAAATATAATTTTCAAGTCTTCCAGATTGTGATGGGAAACTAGAACCATTTTGTAATGTTTGCATCTTCAATGCAGCCAAAAATACCATTGCAAGTTAAGGTCAGCATTTCATAGCAATATTATGAAGGAAAAAATACTGGGTGCCTGATTTGCCCGATAGTGACAGATCTCATATACTTACTAATTCTTAGGAGTTTTCTCTGTTTGCCCTTATAGTCTTTCTGAAAACAGAACTACTGTATATACAAATATATTGAAATTTTGTTGGAAAAAAAAAAACTCCCGTTCATATGCCTAAAGCTCTCTTTACCTTTCTCCACCTTTTCCACTCTTTACCTTTGCCCAGGCTGAAGATAAATGGCTCATTCCTGTCACGGCTGGAATCAAACTTTTTTCCATTGGCCAGCTTTCCTTTGTAATGGACATAAACTTTGTCTCCAATCATAGGAGATTCATCCTTATTTCCTGGTCTCTTCACAATCTAGAATTAGGAAATGAAAACAGGGTTTAGCAATTATCAGTTCTAAACTTTCTTCCATATTATTCAAATGCATGGGTTTATAATTTCATAATTTGCACTGATTCATCTCAAAAGATAGATAAAAAACAATAATAGTTGAAAAACTATAATCGGAATATAAGTGCATACAGATCACAACCCAGAAAATTCGTTGACTTCCGATCAACTTGTTTATAATGACTCAACTGGTTCTTAATTCCATGGGAATCTGACAACCAATCAGGATACATTTCTTGCCCAGGAACAGGAAGCAAATTCAAAGCCAACCCAGGTGGACATTTCTTCCAACATAAGAAACTGCAAATTTTGCTGTAATATCCAAACTGATCTTTTATTTTACATTGTATTCAACTACAATATTTGTTAATGATCTAAAAAGCCCAGTGAAATCCACTATGTCATTGTGGCTTCTACATCTAGCTAAATTCCCCTTGTAACATTTACCACACAATAAAGTGTGAACTGTAAAGTAACTGAAATACATATTTTTCAGGAGCTAGTTTTTAATTCTTCTGGAAACACTCAAAATGGTACATATGTACTATACAATATCTCGTGCCTGTCCCACTTTATTGTGTTATGTTAAACTTACTACAACCAAGATTTGCATTATTATAATGGAGATGGGACAGAGAAAGGGTGCTGCCATTTGAACTGAGATATTTCCAAACTGTTATGCTTGGGAAAGAACATTAATTTCTCCTATAATCTCACCTTCAGAACTCCTCGATCTTTATTTGGTGTTATATCTTCACCTTGTTCAACAAGAGTTGCTGCTTGGACCTCGCCTTCCTTCTTTGTAGCCTCATCAGTTGTCATGGTCTCATTTCATAGGCAGAGCCTAGGCAAACAAATACAAACTTGAATGAATTATGATAAATTGCCCTATTAAACGTGACTCCAAATGCTGCCTTCTATCACATGACAATTTCTCCATATGTTAATAATAAATGAATATAAATAGTAGAAATCATTAAAAAAATAATACATGGCTAGAGAGCCTTTTTAAAAGAGTCTCACTCCCACAGATAATGAAAGAAGCTGATAACGATAGTGGACAAAGTCATTTTGCTACTACCTCTATTTCTTCCTCTTACAATCTTGGTTTTATTCCCATTCCAGTGGAGCCTGGGGGGCATGTTAGTTTTCTGTAGTGTTTTTACTGGTATAAGAAGTAGGTTGAAATGCCACAGGACACAGATGTAGCATAGGTCACCAGCTGTAACCCCAAAAGGCTACTTGGTTCTTGACACAAATGAATTAAAAGGAAAAAAAGAAACAGATTGCAGCTCAAAAAGATCACATATCTTAAAATGGGAAAGAAATATTTTAATACATTTATTAGCATCTGTGTCCTAGAAAAGTATTGTGATATGTATATTTTATAAATAAATACAATTATTTCTTATTAAAGCATCAATATGAGCATTTAAGAAGGCTAAGGAGACTGTTCTATTATATTGTTTGAATTTGGACCTATTTTTGCTACTGTTGGATGTGGAAAAATCATAGAAGTTTCATTATTTACCTAATAATGAATAAATAAATTAGAAGAAAATTTGTATAACTTCCAAAGTTACCCAGCTACCTCTAATCTTTATCCTTCAGAACAACAAATTTTATCTGTTTTTTCATTCATTTCTGCCTCCCGAAAAAAAAGAGAAAGAAGAATGGGGGAGAGAACAAGAAAAGGCAAAAGGTTCATATATCACAGTAGACTTTTCTTTAAAAAGGACACTTTGGAGACATATTTGTTTTCCTGAATGGGACACAGAATATGCATTTATTGATTTATGCATTTATATCCAGTATTTCTTCTGAGAGCTCAAGATGGTTACATGGCAGTCAATCTCTAAGGTTTATCCCGCCCACCGCCCCACCCCCAAAATCCCACTGCACAGGCTAGGCTGAGAACAGCACCTGGCCCATCACTAGTGAACTCTGTGGTCAAGTTCATCGTATTTACCCTCATAATAGACCATACTCCTGAAATATTTCTTTTCTACCCATGGTTCTGAAGTAATGAAAACAACACAGGAACAAGACAACAAAAATAACCGATGAAGTAAATCTGGATGAATTTAGCTAGATTTTGGGTTGGACAAAACAATATCCTACATTGGGAAGACCAGCAGGAGAAAATCAGATAATGGGATGGGGGGTGGGATGAATTTAAGGAGCAGGTAGAAGAAGGAGGGATATATCTTGGACCAGGAGGTAAGACTGATAAAAGAAAAAGCAGCAACAAAGTGATCAGGCAGCAAAATGTGTAGAATGGGTAGAAAATAAGATGGGATGTGGGGGGGGGGATTTATGACAGTGAGAAAATGCAGCCAAACAAGATAGAAAAGGGGGGAAAGAGGGGGAGCAGGAATACTTTGTGAGGTGATGGAGGAAGAGGAGAAAAAAACTTATCAGGTAAATGTTGTTGTTTGGTGGTATTAGAGGCATCATTACAGGATGTAAGCTGTTCCAAGTACAATAAAGCTGCCTTTTGCAATGGACTGATAGTGATTTTGTCAATGCCAATGGTGTTCAAGTGCTGCCCCAGATGTTTTGGTATTGCATCTAAGGCACCTATTACTATTGGTAATATTTTTGCTTCTTTTTACTACAGTCCTTCAACTTCTATTTGCACGTTTTTGAATTTTATGGTTTTCTCCAATTCTCTTTCGTTTATTCTACTCCAGATACTGCACATCCACTTTCCATTCTGTCTCCAGGTACTCCACATCCACTATCCAGACTTTTTAAAAATGTTTCTTATTGATTATTATTACAATGCAATACTGTATTTATGAGTTTTACTTTGCCTGCCCAGGGTCTCTAGAGCTAGACTGCTCATAAATGTTAATCAATAAAGAAAAACTAATAAAATAACTGAGCTGCATAAAAAGGGAGCTTGGAAAAATCAAATATAATTTTGTTCTAGAAAGCAATATTAGACAAGTGTTTAACTGGAGAATCATGTCTGATCTTTAATCAAAAAGGCACATATTGCTCAGGCACATATTGACCATCTGTAGTTATCATTTCAACTCAACTAAAGAAAAATATGTTCAGAAAAGCTGAAGAACACAATCCTAGCATTTTAATTGTTCCAAATCTGTTATTTGAAAAACACAACCCAGCACTTTAGTGGAAGACACTGAAAATATTGACAGTCATTTAATATTTTATTTTTTTCCAGATTGAGAAGGCTGGCAAACAATACACACTAGCAAAATGAAATATCCATCTGTGCTACTATTATCCGAACCCAGAATTTCAAATACTAAAACATTAGGCCATTTTTTCTGATCCGTATTCTACAATAGAAGTCACAGATGAAGAATCTTTTTTTCTTGTCTATATAGCACTTACCTATAAAGTTACCAAGTCACCAAGAGTCAGACATGACTAAATGGTTAAAACAACAAACAATAACATGCTAGGTTATATTTCAGTATCCAGTCATGTGGCTTTTGATGCTCCCTGCCAGCTTCCCACAGGTAAAATAAATGTGGAAGCCTACAGGAAGTCAAAAGTTCCTCCCAGTCCAATTTTTTTCCTACCCATGATCACTATGTTTCTCTATTTAGAAAAGAAAATGCTGATCCAGTGGATAATGTGTATCAAATCTGGTTAAAAATAGAATTGATGCCTTTCTAACATTACCATATTTTTCACTGAATATGGTGATACTTGTTTTGTTTCCATATTCAGTCCAATAAAAAAATTGCACCTAAAAAGGACATGACATATTAAAGCTAAATATCACTGACCATGAATCTTGAAGAGAGAGGGAGGGAGGGAAGGACTGCTTGATTTAATAAATGCAGAACAATGCTAGTAGGATCCATGACAGAAGAAACTAAACAGTAAAAGTGCTTAAGGACACTAATAATTCCTAAGAACAAGAGAAATTTAAAAGCCAGTTACAAATATCTCCAATGAAGAAAAAATAAACAGCTATGTCAAAAAAATGAAGTTCTGAAAGCAAGAAGGACATTTTTTGAAAAATGTTAAGTAGCAGAAAAGAGGACATAAAGAGAAAATAAAAGAATAAAAATACAGTACGAGCTGCTCATGAAGATGGCAAGATGCTAACAGATAACAAAGAGAAAGCAGAGCTGTTTGAAGCTTACTTTGTCTCAATCTTTCACAATAATAGGAAGATATTTCACCAGGGAACTTGAAAAGCAAGATGACGGGATAGTACTGAAGTTCAAAATTGGCATAGTCAGAGGATATCTATTTATTTTAAATGAATTCAAATCTCTATTCTAAGAGATTAGAATGCAACTCTGGTGATTAAAACCTTAAATGTCATTAAGATTATCTTGAAGTACCACATGATTGGAGAGAGCAGATACGATATCTTCAAAAAGAGGAGCAAGCAAATTTAGGGATTGAGAAAACAGTAGAATTTCAAAAGTCAGGAAGACACCAGACTAGGTCATGGAGAGTTTACTATACTAAACACCTTAAAAACAGCGTGATAGTTGTCATGGATAACTATATACGCTACAAACGTCTATGTACAAAAATGTTTATCTAGTGATTGTCCAGGGTTTTGCAATCCAGATATGGAATCCTAAGTCAAGAACAATTCTTGCCAGGTTAACATTTCATTTTTTAATTCTAAAATTTCCTTATTGGATAAAGGGAATGCTATAGCTCTAATATAACTTGATTTCAATAAAACATTTGCCAAAATACCCTCATGGCATTCCAATAAACTAGCTACTTAAGTATGGGCTAGGTTGCATGTTTTACTACCATTTCATTTTGCATGACTTTTTCTGTGTAGTTCAGAACTTTTCTTTAACATTATCTCTTATTCTGGATCCACTATATAGGAAAGTTCAGTTCTAGTCCCACATATACCTCCCAGGCCAACACCTAAGACTTATAAGAGATTAAAAGATTTGGGCAGCTCTGCACTTAAGGGGAAAGAAGAAAATAAAATGTGACAGCATTCTTCAATTAGCTGAAAAGATAGCATATATAAGATGGTCAAGTCTTCCTCTTTCATTCTAATCTGCAGAAGATGGAATAATGAATTTAAGTTATAGAAAAGCATTCCAGCTGAATGTTAGGAAAAAAAACTTCCTAACAATACATATGTACATGGCCATATCATGCCACTCTCATAGAAAGCAACATTGTTCAAATTGCAGATACAAAGTAAGAAATAGAATGGGCGTTGGTAGAAGTTACCGTGATCTTCTATCTATGCTGTGAGAGAGCCCAGGATGGGTTATGACGTCATTTAGCTGAGTCTGTACTAAGATATAAAAGCCAGCCCCCGGGAGAGACCCCAGCTTTGGCAAGATACTTGACAGACTGAAAGGTGTCTCTGAAAGCCCAAAATAAATACAGAAATATGTCTTACCCTCTCCAGACGAATCAAGGGAGGGGCTGGGCTCTCTCGCAGCATAGATAGAAAGGGCGTTCACGGTAATTTCTACCAATGCCCATTCTCCTCCATGTTGCATCGAGAGCCCAGGATGGGACATACCAAAGCTTGCATGTCCACGGGCGGGTCATCGTCTGGCTCATCACACCGACTGTGGAACCACTCGTTGAAACACCCGTCTGCCGAAGGCTGCAGTCGCCGAGGCAAAGGCATCCAGACAGTAGTGTCTGATGAAAGGAGACGGAGATGTCCACGTGGCCACACGACAAATCTCTTCCAAGGATGCTTGGGTCACCCAGGCAGCAGAAGTGGCCACGCTTCTGGTAGAGTGCGCCGTCAGACCTCGGGGAACCGGAGGGGCCACAGCTTTGTAGGTCTGCTCAATGCAAGACCTGACCCACCTGCTAATAGTAGTAGAAGAGGCCTTGTGCCCCAAGTGA